TTAAACCATTTACGGAAAAAAAACATAATTAAGAATTGGCAGCGAAATCATGTAAAGATATGATGATGATTCATACTCACATGCAATGATTTTGATGGTGAACCAAAAAATTATGCAACATCTTCTGCACTACTTAGTTGGTTTAGATTTTAAATCAGGGGATATGAGATGGCAAAACCACCAAGTTGGTTTTTTTTCTTTTCTTTTTTGTTAACAGATAATAGAGGTTCAAATATATATATATTAGAATATATAAACTCACATGTTTATTGCATCTCAAGACTGGAATAATCATAAACTAACTAGGGTCGATTTTCGATTACTCCTAAGCGTCTAAATGAGTTGAATTGCGATGTGTAAATGGTTGATGCTTTCGTTAAGCTTTAGGGATACTTATTACTCTACGTAGCTTTGGCTGATAAATTTCAATGTAACAGATAATACTAATCAAATAGTATAATTATTTGTCCTGAGAAAACGCATACACTAGAGGAAAAAAGGAGGAAAATACTAATCAATTTCCATGATTACACAGCGACCCGGCATTTACTTCCACAAAGACAGCATAATTTCAAAATCAAATACTACTATATATACATTTCTTTGTCGTAATATACTTGAATGATTGAATATTTATTTAATTTATTCTTGTGTCTATATATATAAATTTTCACATTTGCGTAAAAAAGAAGTATTAATGATAGTACTAGAAGAGAAAGTGATTAAGGAATAATTGACTAGGGCTATTAACAAAAAGAAAGTGATTAGGGCGGGGAGGATAAGGACAAATGTCGTTTTCACGTATTAAAAATAAAAAGAGTGTACTATGGTCTGCTTTTACATACAAATTTAAATTACTTTGATTGTGGACTTTATAGGAGGAACAAAACGATAGTAATAATACTAGAAGAATTTTCATATTATTGTCTGTAACACAACGATAAGTATATTCCGCTTAATATACTCTCCTTTTTCCTTAGATTATTTATCGTTTGCATGTAGTTGCTAACAAATAGGGTTAAACATCAATTAGACGACAAAAAAAAACATCAGTTAATTATGTACTAAAATTATAAAATTTATATACATTTGACGGTAAAAGTAAAAAATTGTATTTTTTTTTTTAAGGTAAAAATTGAAAAATATAAGTGGAAAGTTGCCAAAAAAAAAGACAAAGATATTCACAATAATATAACCGTTGAAGCCAAAGAAGAGGAAAAAAGGGTTTGATGACAGGCTGACCAGAAAACCTTACAACTCATTTCTATCATTAACCCTCACATGGCTTATCTGTACATTATGGGTCCCACCACCTTCTATACTTTTTTTTTTTTTTAAATCTCTTACTAGTATTTTTCAAAACAAATTAATTTACCCAAAAATATACAGCAAAACTACAAAACACATGGCTTATTTTGTATTTTTATTGCATTTTTGTATTTTATCATATTGGAAAGAAAAAATATTCACATTTTTCCAGAAAATGCAGAAGATTTTGTCCATGCACTTATACCCCACCATTGATTGTTAATTTCGTATCATCACTATCAGATAATACTAAAATAAAAATATTGTACTATTCTCTCTGTAATAATAATGCATAAAACTACTGGTCAGTGGTCATACTAAAGAAAAAAAAAACACATTAAATTAAAATTACTAATAATCTAATTAATATTTTTCTCCTCTGTGATTTAATGACCTTGAGGACTTGATTCTTCCTTAGTAACAATAAATTGAACTACTATTATTGAATCAAACTGACATTTAAATTCCCAAAAATGTGTAGGCGTTTTCCATTAACAGAGCATTAACCGTACAAATAATGATTATTAGTAGCATTACTTTTAAATTATATTCCTAAATGGAAAACACAAATGTGAAATACCTAAAATACCCTTGGCTTATCCATCGCCATTGCAAGGTTTTTTTTTTGTCCTCCTTCCTTTTATAAAAGGCACAAGCGAGACACTGTCGTCGTCACACACCACCACTCAATACGAGCAAAAACCTCCATAGCTAGAGAGAGAGTGAAAAACCAAAGCTTTTTTTTTAGAGAGAAAAGATGTCGAAAGAAGTGAGCGAAGAGGGACAAACTCACAACCATGGAAAAGACTACGTCGATCCACCACCAGCTCCACTTTTCGACATGGGAGAGCTCAAATCCTGGTCTTTTTACAGAGCTCTCATCGCTGAGTTCATCGCTACACTCCTCTTTCTCTACGTAACCGTAGCCACCGTCATCGGTCACAAGAAACAAACCGGTCCTTGTGACGGAGTCGGATTACTCGGAATCGCATGGGCTTTCGGTGGTATGATCTTCGTCCTCGTGTACTGCACCGCCGGTATCTCTGGTAAGTCCTTAAACCAACCCTAAAACAGAACATAACCCTTCTCGTGTTCTCGATTCTGATGTTCTTTTCTGGTTTTGGTTTGTTTCGTAGGTGGTCACATTAACCCAGCTGTGACTTTCGGTCTGTTCTTGGCTCGTAAGGTCTCTTTGGTTAGAGCTGTTGGTTACATGATAGCTCAGTGTCTTGGAGCCATTTGTGGTGTTGGTTTCGTGAAAGCTTTCATGAGAACTCCTTACAACACTCTTGGAGGTGGAGCTAACACTGTTGCTGATGGTTACAGTACGGGAACTGCTCTCGGAGCTGAGATTATTGGAACTTTTGTCCTTGTTTACACCGTTTTCTCTGCTACTGACCCTAAGAGAAGCGCTCGTGACTCTCACATCCCTGTAAGTAAACGGCTCTCTGTGTAATCTCTCTTATGGGTCTGCGTAGATTCTTGAAAAAAGTTTGAAGTTTTTAGGGCTTTTATGGTAAAGTTTGGCTTAAATCTCTAATGGGTTTGTGTAGTCTCTGATAAAGTTTGGATCTTTTTGGTATTTATGATAAAGTTTGGCTTAAATCTCAAATGGGTTTTGTGTAGTTTCTGATAAAGTTTGAATCTTTTTGTGTGTTTAATAATAATGTTTGTTTAATTTCAAAGTGGGGATACAGTTTGAATCTTTTTAGGGTTTTTTATGGTAAAGTTTGGTTTAATCTCAGATGGGTATGTGTAGATTCTGATTAAGTTTAGATCTTTTTGGAGGTTTATGGTTAATCTTTGCTTTAAATCTCTCATGGGTCTGTGTAGTTTCTGCATAAGTTTGAATCTTTTTGTTAAATCTTGTTTTAATCTCAAATGGGTCTATATTGATTCTGATAAAGTTTGAATCTTTGTGTTGGGTTTAATAGGTTTTGGCTCCACTTCCAATTGGATTCGCTGTGTTCATGGTGCATTTGGCTACTATCCCCATTACTGGAACTGGAATTAACCCAGCAAGAAGCTTTGGTGCTGCTGTTATCTTCAACAACTCCAAAGCATGGGATGATCATGTAAGTCTTTTAAACAAATCTTTGGTTTAACGTTTGATTAATCATTATGTACTTCTCTAACGGTTTGATTTTACCTGTTTTTTTTTTATATTTGCAGTGGATCTTTTGGGTTGGTCCATTCTTGGGAGCATTAGCAGCCGCAGCTTACCATCAATACATTTTGAGAGCTGCAGCAATCAAAGCCTTGGGTTCATTCAGAAGCAATGCAACCAATTAATGAGAGAAGCAAGTCCCTACTTAATTATGAAGAAAAAATTTAAGATTTTACATGCTTTGTTATCATCATATTTGTTGTTCTTTTGTGTGTGTAATGAGAGAGGAGAGAGTTGGTTTGATGATGTTAATTATGAAAATGGATTTCTTTGATCTTTTGTTAGTTTCTCCACTTTGTTAATTTCAGTAGTTTTAGTTTTTGGTGTTTGTCTTTTGAATCATTTTCCCTTGTTTCTGTTTATTAATTGAAAAAAAATTGATCTTTTCCCTACTTCTCAAGGTCGAGAACAATCGATTTCGTAATATCGAACAATCCAAACTAAAATTTCACTATTTAAAAGATTGTGAAATCTATAAGAAGTGACCAAGATAATATAAATTTCGGCTTAAACATGGTATTGTGGGTCTTTGATTCCTTTATCCTCTCAGAAACCAATAAGCTATTGACACGTGTACTTTCATATCAGAAGATGGGTGTGAGAAAAATGTGTAACGAGTGTTTCTCTCGATAGTTCCATTGAAATTGGATTCCATTTGCTATGATTAACTTTTTCGTTTGTTGCCAAAAAAAAAAAGTTTTTTTTTCTTCCTTCTTTTAAGTCTTTTCTTTTGAATTTTTAAGATTAATATATTTATATTTGTTTAGTAATATAAAAAGGGTTTTGTGTCAGTACTTTTTTCTCTGTTTTTTTGGTTTTGTGAAAGGATAAAAATAAGTGGAGCCAATGATGGTACCATAACAACCAGACAAGAATCCAGACATTGAAAAAAGCAATTTTTTTCCTTGCACATTCAACTTTTGACGCGTGTCTTGTAGCTAATGTGATTCACACTCCGGACCTGAATATTACCCTTATTATTATTGTGTTTTCTTTTGACTGTTTTTAAGTGTTATATAGACCCACCCAAACTAATTTTTGTGTTTTGATGTATTGGGAAATGATTTGTATTCAAGACGTTACCAACTATATATATCGAATCGTGAATTCGATTTTCAAATATTGATTTTCCAAGAATGATCACAGTCACATACATACATGTATTAGTTATATTAGTCATGCACTATATGACATCGATCAAGCGAGTAAACATTTTCACAAAAACTTTGACAATTACAAAGTAACTTATGTAATTATGTCAAGTTTCATGGGTGTTCATTCAAAACCAATTGATCTTTATACATATCAATTAATATCATTTTTCACTTTCAATATGTGATACTTTTTTAACATGATAAGATAATAACGACTTAACCATTAATATAGACATAATTTCAACATACAATTAATTTCGGATTAAATTGGTCAAATTCATTTTGCGTCGGACTGATTTTATATCCATCGAATTCATTTTAAGACGGATCAATTTCGGTTTAGAGGAATAAGTTTTATGCCATATTAAAATTGATGAACTTATATATTAGTTCAAATCATTTTCCACTTCCGGTCAAATATATTCTTCACGTGTTACGATTATTTCCTCACCGGCTAATGGTTTCGTAACGGTAGTAATTTCCTTACGCTTTTCCATTTTCTTGAATTTGGAATTATGTATGCATACATAATTACATAGTAGTAGTCTCTTTATGTAATAGTATTAATAATGTCACGTCTCGTCTTTTCAAAGAAAAAAAAAAGTGAAAACAA